GCTTTGTGTCATAAAATATTTCACTTCATCTGCATTTGTTTATTGTGAGAAATGGTGGCTCCTTCTTACGCACCTTCGCTACACCTTATTTAATGGTGTGAAACTTCTTATCATTATCGTTTACCTCTGTCAGACCTAATTTCAAAATCTAATACCTCCAGAGACTTTTGGCTGCTCCTGCAGCCTTCTTCTGCATCTCTTAGTTTCTTCCCTTTGGGAGTTCAGCACACAAGAGATCTCATAACACTCTCATGTGAAGGCTGAGTGCTAGCATTTGCTAGCAATCAGTCTTTGCATTCACTCTCCAAAAGCAAAGGCCAAGTAAGAGTGCAGATTTGCCAGACCATCAGCCCCAGGCTGGTGTCCACCATACCCAAGGAACTGTTCAGTGGGGGTACGATGTTGATCCCCAGCCTCTTAAGCCAACTTGACAACACAGACTGCAATCAGTGAGCGAGCAGCACAGAAGAAAGATATTTGGGGCAAAAGAGGGATCTGCCTGTCCTGCCTCCTCTTAGTCCCTCTTGATCTCCTTCCATTAGCTTTGCTAACACTGTTTGGTTATTGATGTCTCCAAAAAGTGTATTCCTTTCCTCTTTAATAGGATTCCAAGGGACACAGTGCTGTCTGTGCAAGCGCTGAGGACTGACCTTGGAGATAGAGGTAGAAGCTACAGTTAAAGTAACTGAAAATCCTGAAATTGGCAACTGGAAAAAGATCAAACAAGTGTTTCCTTTTTTTTTTTCTTCTTTTTTTTTCCATGAAGGTAGAATGGATTTCCTGGAAAAGATGAGGCACACAGTTAAATCCTGTGGTGCTCTGAGTGGCAATCAGGGAACTACGAACATCCAACTGCCAGAGGAGAAATGAGTCAGGGATCAGACCACACTGCGTGTGTGTGGCTGCTATCCCACAAAGCACAGGGCTGCAGAGGAGTGCAAATCTCCTACAGAACTGAGAGAAAGGATGAGAAGCTGCTGAGTCATTTGTAGGGCAGTGGAGAATACAAATTAAGACAAGAACAGATTTGAGGGCAGAGATGATGTCTCACTTTTAGTCCCAAATCTCTGCAGCTCACATTTGACAGCGTAGAAATAACACAGAGGAACAACAATAACTAAGATTCCTGGAAATATCTGCATGATGCAGGGAGTTTTCATGGAGGACTGTGGAATGCCTCACACACAGAAGTAAACGTGGACAGAAGTGATGTCCTCTTTCTGAGAAGGGTTCAATGGTTACAGGAAGCAAAATCATCCCAGAGATGGACGACTCATCCTGAAGAATTCTAAAGATGAGGCCAAAATGTGTCTGAAGCAAAAAAGAAATACAGAGGTTTCGTTTTTTGCATAGCGGGAGAACTCCAGTAGCTCTCAGCAATAACAAAATGAAATCAGCAGCACAGAAGATAATTTTTGTGGTCAGTGCTCATGAAAAGCCAGTGGCAGAAGTGCACTGAATTGTGAACACGGTGGAACCATCACTGTAAGCAGATGGCACTGCTGCTCAACTCCTGGACTGGAGACACAACCCAGAACGTGGCTGTAAGCAGACAACGCCAGGGAAGAGGGCTGCCATTCTGAGGACAAATCAGAATCACAGAATATCCCAGGTGGGAAGGGAGCCATAAGGATCATCGAGTCCAACTCTTCAGACACTGAGGACCACCCAAAATAAAGTTTAACTGTTGGGAGTAAAGGACTGTTGATCCTCAAGCTGAAAGCACTCCTAACACCAGTTTCACTAAGAGATCGGAGTGGAACACAGCAAAGAAGATAAACTTTAGGGTGTTTTGAACTGCACTGGATAACTGCCACAGAGTGCAACAACATGCTGATGCTACATCAGTTGTTCTTACAACTCTAAAAGGGCAAAATGCTGAACCTGCACGTGAAGAGCTTGTTAAATGTTAAGATAGAAAAGATCTCCAATAAATCAGCCTCAAGTCAGACACACAGAAAGGGAGATGAAAGAAAAAAAACAGACTAAAACATATTTTGTCTTACTTCACACATTTTGGATTCATAAATCCAAGACAGACACAGATTTATTGCATTATTAGAGGACGTAACTGTTAATGATGCAGCAGAGTGCAAGTTCTGATGCCAACCAGTCCACCAACACCAACTTGATGGCTCTGCTGTACCATGGCTGCCATGGAGCCGGGGGATAAAATGTTCTGCCTTTGAATTATAATATTAAAGTAATGCTGCAAAACTGCCAGACCCTGGGACAGCAAAATTGACTCGGACCCCATGGAGAGATTGAAATCTACTGTGTGGTAGTGAGGATGCAATGGAGAGAAGAAGCCAGATGATAACAAACAGATCCTCATCTGCTGCAAGCTGCAAGTCTACAAGTTCATGAAATTCTGGGGTCTTAGGGGAGAAAGGGAGATAATTTGTGGAGGGAGAGTGCAGTCCGTAGTGCCCTGTGTCACAGCTGGTGAGTAGTTCATGGCAGTGCTGTGCCTTTTAAGTTCATTTTTCATTTTTTTTCTCCTTTGCTGTTAATTAGAGGGCTGAAAGTGACCCATAAAATGCAGTATTGTGGGTGAATCCTTTACCTTCCTACTACCCACATATTCATGATACTCTGTGTGATTTGAACTTGGCCAACTAACATATTTGCAGCTTAGCGTCCTGCTCAGCTCTTCTACTGGATGCCATCACAAGACAAACGTGGCCTCGGCAGCAGATGGCAGTGGGCAACAGTGGAGGAGAAGAGGTCTTGGAGGTAGCTTGAAAGATGGAGGGAAAATGTGAAAATTGCAACAAGCTGCCTGAAAAATAACATGGTGATGAGTTTCGTTAAGTATTCACACATGCACACATGCATATGCACAACTATTTCACAGTGTAAATGTTTGCAAGTGACTTTTCCCCATTTTCCCCTTGTTATTTGTTGAATTTTGCCATTACACTCATATTTCGTAGCAGTACATTTGATACCCATGAAGTATAAACATTAAAGTCACTGCAGTGACTATGCTGTCCACTGGAGCATGCACCAGAATAATTTACAACCAAAGTACTTAACAGGAACTCGGTTCCTCATCCTCCCTGGAAAGCTGTAGGGATGCAGAAAATTGCAGTGTTTTATGGATCATTTCCATTTTAGGTCTCATTCTCCATTAGTCCTGTACAAACACAGACAGATGTCGCAGCAATGCCTGATATAAATAGATGGGAGTGTATTATTGTAGGACTGACTGCCATCACGTGATTTTTTCGGTCAGAGGAAGAGAGAAGGATGTGCTTTCTCTACCCTGCAGACAGCTGCCGCAGCTCTGAGCTCTGCGTGGTCCCTTCTTTCACAGTGGGTTGGGTCTGGTAGGTAGATGTGTTTAATGCAGTGAGGAGATTCAGTGCACTGAGACAAGTAACCTGAAGTGTCCTTCCGAGCCCTACTGGCTGAAAGGACACTGCTTGGCCACTGCTCCTCCGTGGCATAAGCACGCATGCACTGATGGCACAGAACAGCCAAGAGCTGTCTGAGAAAAGACAACTGAAGGGCATCACGTGCTCCTTCCACATGGTTGCCCCATAGGAATTTGCTGGTGAGTTTTCTAGTCAGACAGCTCTCCTTGTGCTGCAAAGCTCCCTTGCACATAAAGTAGGTGGTTGGCTGTGGCTAGAAGGGTTGGCATGGCACCCTGCTTCCCTCAGCCCCAACTGTCACCAAAAAGATTCTGAGACCTTTGGGAAAGCCATGCCTCTGGGAGCTGACAACAGCCCCTTGTTAAAGCACAGCCACTACACTGCGAGACAGACACCCACGTGAGCAGTTCTATGGGACAGGTGCCTTGGAGAAGACTCTTCTTTCCTCGTGTGCCCTCTGAAAGCACTCTGTTTAGTTGACACCGTCAGTTTTTGCATCCTCCTCTTTAAACTGAGTTCATTTCGTGATCTGGAGCAGTGCTTTCTGACCTCAAGGGCATTCAAAATATCCTTTCAGCTAGACAGACAAACTACACACACTGCATATAGGGCAGCTGAAATGTCCAGGTCCTGCCTGCATACAATGCCTGCTGTCTGCTCACTCCAAACTCTCTCTACATCACACTCTGCCCTGAAGGAGGCAGTAGGGCAAGTAAAAAGGATAGCAGAGAAGTAACTCAGTTGCAGGAAATGCTCTGCTGCCACTTATATGTGCTTTCCCATCTGATCTGAAAGCAGAAAATGCTGAGTACTTTATAAATGGCCCCTTATCTAGAAAAGTGATGTCTGTGCACTGAGGTCTGAACAGGAAGTTCCATCTACAGCTTTCCTCTTGGATTCAGCTCCTGGACAACACAGCAAACCAGCTCCCAGTGCCTGCCTTCCTGCAGCCCACGTTGCTGAACATGAGCACAGGGCTCTACAAATGACATGGCAATGGCAGAGGAGGGTTTATCAACACAGGTTCAGATGTGTGCAAATTTGCCACGTGTGGGCAGCTGAACCCTACCATGGAGGCTGGTAGGCATGTTCCAGGAGACATGAGGTGCTGCTGAACAGGGACATCAATCCCACTGCTATAATTTCTATTCGCCCTGCACTTGCTTGGTGGTATTTATACATATCAAGGAGCTGTTCAGTAACTAAAGTATTTATTTCTGTTATTTATAAACCCACCATCTGGTCATTGAGCTTCAACCATGGCATTTTCCTACAGAGACCTGGTCTCAGCGTTTGCTCCCCTGTGTTATCCTAGAGGCAACATGCTGAGATGATGCTCTGAGCCAACTGGGCATTGCCTAACGAAGGGACTGCATGTCCAAGGGGCACAAAGCACTGCCACAGAGCTTGGTTATGGTACAAAGCACCCAGAACCTTGCAGCTAGAAACCATGTGCACCAATCAACCTTGACATCTTTCTAAGCAGACATCTCCAAGGGGCTCTAACAGCCATCATTCACACTCAGAACACAACCACCCTCCCATCTTTCCCTCCCCTCCATAAAACAAAAGCAATAACCCTTCCATAATACTGCTCATTGCTGCACCAACAACCCTGAATTGAGCAGGTGATCATTTAGTCTCATCAGACAACAGGAAACCCAACAGTTGGGAACACCTGTCAGGTCGGAACGAATTGCAAAATAACAAAGAAGCAAACATGAGGAAATGTGCATATAAAAAACTTTTTCTCCTGGCATATTGTCAATAAGCAATTTTTCCTTCCGCAAGGAAAGGATTTAAGTTCTTGAATGATATGATGCTTGGAAATGTCATTTCCTTTTCGTTGAAAAAAAAAAAAAAAACACCACCCCAATCGACCAAAAAAATTCCAACCCCAAACTCACATATTGGTGTTAACAAAGCAAGGTAAAAGGACGAATCTCCCAACAATGACAACCGAAAAATAAAGGTACACATCAGCATCTGTAATCAAAATCTACTACATACTGTACTTGGGAAGTCTTCTGGGGAAAGATCATTGGCATCGAGTGAGGACATCACTATAAGTCTTGTGCATATGATATGTATGAAACAATGATGCCATTGGAGGGTGGATGGACGGACCCTTAGGAAACTGTCACTCACAAAACTGTTCCATGACAACAGAAAATAAAGAGATGTAAAAAGGACTGATTTCCCCCGTTCCCCAACCCCCCGCCCCAGTGTTACAGATTCCTTCTCATTTGACGGAAACAGCCTCTTCTAGTATCAGTTTACTTGTTTAAAAAAAAAAATGTCTTCAGCTTTTGTAGAAGTCCAACAATTTCTGAGATGCACTTGGTTCCACAGCACCAAAGAGCTTCAGCTCTCCTCTTCGATTTGCCAACAGGGCTTTCAGGAAGGACTGCTGGGCATTCCCAGAGCTGCCATCCCAGGTGAGAAAGAGAAGTGCTTCTTGTGACCATTCTTTGCATTCGTCTTCTTGAAAAGTCTCATAACTCCAGAGGTGTCTGGGCCCAGCTGCAGCAACCCTTGTGCAAGAGGAAATAGATGAAGCTGCTCTATTCTCTTCCTTTGAAGACTCCCATTGGTCTTGGAGCCCTTTTCAAGACTGCAATTGCTTTATTATTATTTAAAAATAATTCACTGTTTGTTTGTTTTCAAAATAGCTGTCTTTTCTTGTTCCCTTTTTCCATTGTTTTCTATTGTTTCACCTCTTGGTGACTTCTCGTTGTCGACGATAGGGCGTTTCTTCCTGTTGCCATGATCCTCAGAGCAGCTGCCTGTCTCTGATCCACGCAGAACACTCAAGAACTGGAGCTCAGACACACAGGGGCAGAGGGGAGCAGGGCCTCAAGGAAGTGGAGCACGAGGGCACGTCGCTATCAAACCTCCACAGACTGAATTTGGTTCATCTGTGCTCTCATCACCTGGATACTGTTCAGAATTTTCTTCTGGTGTCCTGCTAAAGTGACCCCAACTCGTAGAATGTCCCTTTGGGAGGAAAGAAACAAACACCACATAAACATCAGCAAAGATCAGAAAGTACACCAGAACAAGGCTATGCATGAGCATCCCCTTGGAGCATGCTATGCTGGGAGATGTAGTCTCCACACTGTATCTGCAGCACTTATTCCACAAATGCAATGGGTGAATGAGAGCTAGGTGGCACCTCCACTCCTCTGCCTTTTCTTCTCCTGGATGAACCTCTCAGTCTTCGCATTTTCAACATAACTGCAGCACCCCCCAAGCACAGAAAACCTCAATACTGAGCGCCAATGCAGTGCTTTTCTCACTGCCTCTAAGTGAACTGGTCTTTGAAAAGCTTTTAGGTTTTCTACCCTTGTATTGTTTGGATTCCTGAAAGTCTGGATTCTCTCTCCTGCTGTGTCAGATCGGAATTAGAAACCTACTTTTCCATCCTTGGAGATGGATGAATAGGAGGTGATACATGAATGTTACTCCCTGTGTGAAGATGAGTGCTTTTGTTACTCTTGAATTATCACAGAGTCACAGATTCATTCAGGTTGGAAACGGCCTCTAAGATCATCCAGTCCAACATCCACCTATCACCAATACTGCCCACTAAACTATGTCCCTAAGTACCACATCCACCACACTGTTCTGATGAGGCCATGAAGTGAAAAACTTCTGCTACTTATCCTCTTTTCTGAAGCGTGGCAATCTAATTTTTGCACTGCTGCTGTTTCTGATGGATATTAGGCATCTGGGGAAGATAAAGCTCACACCAAGAGCATGAGTGTTACTCTGCATTAGTGCTATATGTGATCACTCCAGCTGAGTTTGCTACTCACCTCCCTGCTGGTGAATAAATTTCAGTCATGAATCTTCTGATCAGAGAATGGATGGCATTCGTAAGATGCCATCCGTGCCTTACTTTAAGGATTTTCAATTGCCTTTTCTCTTTCCTTCAGTGTTAGGAACAGAATTTTAAGAGGGGGCATCAATGGGCAAAGCAGGGCAAATGGAAACTCCAAGGAAATGTGGAAGAAAATCCTTTAGAACAAGTAGCAAATGGGCTGGTGTTTGCTTTAGTGCTTGCTCTACACCTTGTCTCTCTGGTCAAACACGAGGAGGAAGAAGGAATGAAGAAGGAAAGCTGAGGATGGATCTGTGCAACAGATCATATGTTCTGGCTGCAGACCGCTGTCAAAGCACCCTTCAGTCTCTAAGAATGGCGGGAGAGTGAGCACCCAAGCCACAGCTTTGCTGCCATTCAAATTTCTGCACAGCAAAGCAACTGGAAACCTGTTTGAGCACTACACAACCCCGGCACCAGGGTGGTGTCCTTACAGTGACTACTTGCCTTGCTGCTTTCCACTCCCTTCTCTGTGCTGCCAAATATGCTGAGCTAAGAAAAGGGAACATTTCCTGTTGGAAGAGTCTGGCAATTTGATTTCTGCTTTTACTCTGATTAGGAATAAAAACCAGTCTTTACTCTGGCTCATGTCCAGCTTTTCATCTATCAGGACCCCCAGGTCCTTCTGCACAGGGATGCTTTCAATTAGTTCTACTCCCAGCCTGTACTCATATCTGGGACTCCCCTGACCCAAACGCAACACCTTGCCCTTGGCCTTGTTCAACCTTGTTAGGCTCACACTCAAGTAGATCAGCACTGAAATCACCTGCATTTGGTACACTGAAGCTGTTTTCAGTAAACATTTAAACTTTGCTGGCTACCCCGGTTTCAAGAAAAGAGGGCCTTATGGCAGTTCAGTTCCACTGATACAATCCTTAGAAGGTGGTCTCAAGTAATGCTGTATCATGATTTTCCAAGGACAAAGGATTTGGTCTATCACCTCTATAATTCTGTCCACCCAACCAGGTGAGAAATGTGGAAAGGTTTGTCAGAAGTGACAGGGGACACAAGGATGAGCTGAGGGGACCCCTGTGACAACACTGAAGGTGCACAGAGAGGACTTGGAAGATACTGTGAGGGATGTGGGAAGGTACTGGGAAGAGTAGCATTTAATGGACACTGAGCACATCCAAGAAAAACACTGACTTCATTAGCCTGGCTGCAATGTATCCAACAGACACACTGCGTAAAATCCACCAAATCCAGCAGGGTTGGGTTGTGGTGTGGGCCCAGTTTGGTTAAAGTTCTTCGTTATCTTTCAGATTTTAAGGGTCTTCTTCCTGTAGTGGGAACACAGCCTACACAGTCCCAAAATCACCCCCAAAGCTCTGGGGCTGTACCATGGATACACTGAAACAGTCAGAATTGCCACGTGAATTTCCTGGCAGCAAGTAAGAGCAAAAAAAGCCCCCAAAAATCAGTTTGGCTGTTTGTGTGGACGCATTCTGATTGAGTGATAGTTTTTAAGTGTGAAATTAGGCATCAATTCCAAGAAACCTTCCTAGTTACCAGGCACAGAGACATCACAGCGCTTACACATGGCTTTAATGCTTGGTGCTTTCCTGGCAAGGGTTTCTAAAGCTAACTGCAACCAACTACAAATCTTTCCCGAGAGGCATCAAAGCCCCACTTGGCCCCAAGGGATTTCAAAAACTACCACAAATGGATTTCAGCTGCCTGCTTTCTCTGAAGAACTTGCTAAAATCTTGCCACTGAGGAAAGTTTTTAGTGCATACAGGACAATTCAAAACAAAGTGAAACCATGTGGACTTCCAGAGGCTTTTCTTAACCAGAATTTTTTTGTAGCATTTATGTCTCCTCTGCCTATAAGCCAGACATGCAAAAGGACTGCAGAGTCCTGAAGTGTTCTCCAGTGGTTGGAGAAGTGCCTGATGCCACTGTAAAATCTCCATTTGTTCCATGGAGGGGTTTTGCAGACACTAACGGCAGTTTTCATTTTCACATGCAGTGTGAGAACACGGGACTGAATTCCGCAGATCTAGAGCAATAGATGGACAAAATCTGGATAAAAGGCTGCCTGCAGAATAGAGACAGTTCTGCAGAAATTGAACAGACCAGAAGTGGGTCTACAAGGTAACAAATTCTGTAAAACAATGTGAAAAGAAAATAAACTCAATTAGTGATCAGTCGTTAAACAACTGAGATCTTTCTTTGCTCTTTGGGACCAGAAGCCTGGGCACTTACTCTACAGTCATCTGAGATACTATATCAAAGGTGGTGAAGCCAGCACTGGCAAAGCTCTCCTTGTACTGGCTCATCTTGATGGCATCCAGCCATTCATCCACAGTGTTGAAGCTGGTATAATCTGGGATTGTGCGGTCAAGTAGAGGGAGGTTAACCCTGAAACACAGAAATAGAGAATGATCACAGCGAGCAACGGCAAGCAAACACATGCATTTCTGCACCCTCCATCGGCTGGAATGACTTGGACCAGCATTACTCAGTCCAAAGCAGAGGGACAAGAGTGACTTTGACATCTTTTACTGGAGGAGGAAACAACATGGGTGAAGCGGTCTTTACAACAGCTACCTAGGAGAGATGCAAGGATGGTGCCCGTCAGGCCACAAACAACAGAAACCAAAAGACAGTAAGGCAGCATGCATACCCAGAGGAGAGAGGTGCCATGGCTTTCAAACTATTAGGATTTCGGATCATTTTGTCTAACGTGTTGACAATCTGTCCAAATTTGGGTCTGTGGTTTCGATCCTTCTGCCAACAGTCAAGCATTAGCTGGTGCAGGGCATTTGGACAATCCATAGGGGGTGGCAGCCGATAGTCCTGCTCAATAGCATTTATCACCTGCAACGAGAGGAAGAGAAATCAACAGAGTGGCAATAACATCTTTATCCCTGAATGGAGGAGTAGGCCAAAGTGGCACTTGTTTAACTCTTTAATGTTCCTTTTCTTAGCTCCTAAGGGTGACTGTCACAGTGAGAAGAAGGTTTTGCCTGATGCTGCTTTGGTGTCTCCCTGCCTCACTGAGGGATCTGGGAAAATACACGGCCTTGTCACATATAATGGAAACAGCAGACGCAGAAGGGATCTTCTTCAACAGGAAACCTCAGCTCCCTGTCACTCTGGTAGAAGGATCTCAGCATCTCTGTCTGTTCTCACTCCTTGATTACGGCCACCATAGATTTGTCTTGCACACTTCTAAGGACTCCTCTGGTGAGCTGCCTAAGACTCTCCTGGGGAAGAACTGGAGAGAGTCCACGCAACCATCAAGCACTTGGCTCTGGCAATGACTGAATGATTTCCTAAGGAGCCACCTGCCTTGCAGCCAGCAGATCCACCCCGCGAGGGGGCACAGCCTGCACTCTCCATCCCTTTTTCCTTCCCCTGCCTCCCCAGACTCTCACACCCAAGGGTCAGGAGGCTAAACTGCAGCGAATATCTGCCATGTGTTAATTCGCAGGGAGCATCAGCTGCAATTAAGTGGTGACAGCTTCTGGGGCATGATGTCCTGTGGCACAAGAAGGGGGAGAAGAGGCTGGGGAGGCAGGGGAGCAGCCAGCATGCAGCAAGCTGCACTGAGGAGACGGGCATGGGCTCTCACATCCTCACCAGCTGCATGATGGAAGTAGGAAGCTGTAAGGGAAGAGGTGCAGAACAGAAGGGAGAGAACAATGACACGAGTGGGGGAAAGCAGAATGCCGAGTGCATGGAGGGATGCCAAGGCAGGGAGAGGGCAGAGACACGTTTGCAGTACATGATTGAAACTGAAAGTGATAATGAAACCCAAATATGAATGAGGCCTTTCTGAGAAGGACCTACCACTAAACATCCTTCTCTTTGTCACACAGAACTAATGTAAAGATTTTACTGGCATGCTGGGACAAGGAAGCCATGCTTCAGCCACTAGGGACTCGTTTCAACAAATTCCCCACTAGGTAATGAGGAGGAATTTGCCCTTCTCTGAACCTGACATGGTACGGATGGAGCTGTATTGACCTGAAAAATGTCTAATTTGCCATTGGGGTGGGAGGAGTTGAGAGGGCCAGGTGGGAAGCCCAAAGACTGAAGAGCCCGCAGAATGGTAGAATAGAGGTGGCAGTAGAGGACCCATTTACTTCCCAGAGGCAGTTCTGAAACAAACTTGAGGTCAGGAAGATGCTATTACATTAAGGTTTTCATACCCAGGCTTGCAGAAGAGAGGTAGACAAGCCTTCTGCACACCAAAGGGTCTACCCAAGACCTTGATGTTTTATCCTGAGGCCTAGAGAGCATGAAGGACAGCTCATCAGAGAGACAATACAAGAATCCTGAAAGACGTTGACTGTGGACACCTCTCCCGTGACAGAGAGTGTTCTGGACATGCCACAGGCCACGTCTAGATATAACCATGCCTTCGCCTTGCAATCTGCTCTTGATTTCAGTGCTCCTGCTCCTGGTTTCTTAACAACTCACATCTTGATTGGTCATATCCCAGTAAGGCCGCTCTCCGTAGGACATCACCTCCCACATGACTATTCCATAGCTCCACACATCACTGGCTGATGTGAATTTTCGGTATTGAATTGCCTCAGGGGCTGTCCACCGTATTGGGATCTTCCCACCCTGCAGGGAAAAACAAACAACTAAGAGAGGATAGCAGCAGAAAAAGAAAGAGCAATTGAAAGAGATGTGTCCAAAACACTTTTGTCTGATGTATCAATCAAATCCCCGAAGGAAGGGATCTCTCAACTATCCCTATCGACAGCTTGGGAATGGCTTTGTCCAGCCAGCTCCTGGCAACCTTCAGGGTTGATGATCCTCCTCATCTGTCTGGTGACTTGTTCAGGGTTGCACCAAGCCCCTGGGGAAGAAGTTTTTCCTATTATTCAACCCGAGTGTCCCACGCTATGATTTTGTCTACTGCTCCTTGTTACACCATATGGTACCAACGGAAACTGTTTGGCTCTGACTTCTTCCTGCTCTTCAAGTACTGCAGGTCACTTCTAGGAGGGCACTCAGCCTTCTTTTCACCATATTAAACAAGCTCAGCTCTTTCCACCTGCCTACAGTTACAGCAATCCCTGGCATGTCAAAATGTCCATTGTGCTGGCAATGAATGACTGTGAAATTGGAAAAAATCAAACAAATTCCTCTTGAATCCCTCTCCCATCCTTTTGCTGTCATCTATCTCAGAAGCAGAATAAAAAAGGATTAAAATCTTTTTTAAGAATTAAATTGAATTAGAAGAATTCATGAAGAGCTGTGCTTGACATCTTCTCACTGGCAGCTCCAAAAGATCTGGGAGGGATCATTTCCTACAGATCATGCCCCAGCTCTATCAACAATTATTTCCAAGAACACGTCTCATAGGCACTGCAGTGGGGTAGTGCTGTCTGCCCCTGCAAAAGATGGGATCTAGGAAAACTACTGGCTGCAGTCGTACTGATCAAGAATGTCTTCTCCATAGGTATGACTATAAGGCCTATCAACAGTTGCTGGAATAACAACTGGGCACAGACTTGCAAGAAAAGACCTTCCTTCATTCATTCGATTGATATTTCCCACGTGGCACATTATTCCCATTGCTGGTACCCTGAGAAAAGTGTTCTTAACATCAACAGGAGACTTCTCTCTCACTCCTTTCCTCCCCACCCACCCCTCCTGCTATGCAAAAGCAGCTTTACCAGTGCACTGGTGTAAGTGGGATCAGAGGTGTCATCCTCCAGGAAACGGGAGAGGCCGAAGTCGGACACTTTGCAGACCAGGTTGCTGTTGACCAGGATGTTACGGGCAGCCAGGTCCCGGTGCACGTAGTTCATATCAGCTAGGTACTTCATGCCTGCTGCAATGCCACGCAACATGCCCACCAGCTGGATCACCGTGAACTGCCCATCATTTTGCTTAGGGAAAAAAGGAAAGAATCGACATGAGAGGTGCAAATCCACAGCTGGTCGTGAGCGGGCAAACAGCCAGTAGTCTTTGTTTACATCACATGTCAAGACACAGCTGTGCCACCAGCACCACAAGTTCCCTCTCAAAGAAAGAGAAGGGAGAGCTCACAAGGGCTGGAAGTCACCCTCACACGCCCTACAGGCACCAATACCAATGGCTGCTGACATTCAAAGGTGACAGATCTGCCACATCTTGCACGGGAGAGTTTGGAAGGGGTAATCTATTCCTAATAAGCAAGTGAATTTGGCATTTATTCCACAGTGAATTATTCACATCAGACTCAGGCCTGTAAATGTTTAGACACAGCAGCTGGAGCTGGAGCCCTGCTGTGTAAAAGATCTGGCAGAACTCACCTCCATGTCTGTAAAGGAGTGCCTCTGAAATGAGCAACACTCCTCTAGTACAAGTGTAGAAACACACAGAATCACAGAATACTCCGAGATGGAAGAGACTACAAGGATCACTGAGTCCAACTCCTGGCTCCATTTATGGAGCCCAACTCCACCCAATACCATTATGACCAGGACAGGATGTCCTGACCTAGATGCCACACATAGGAGTGAAAGAGTAACAGATTACTTCTAAGGCATTGGGAAAACTTCCTTTTTCTTTAAGCCTGTAACTTTGATTTATGTAATTGTACTAAAAAAGTAAGGCTTGGTTCAATCTTGAGGACACATAACATGACAGCCCTGATGCCACCACTTCTCCTGAGGCCACAGACCTCCCCGATGGGCAGTGAAGGACAAGCTATACTGGCACAAAGAAGGAATCTCCCCCCTCCCCCCCAGTCCTCCTCTGACCCTGGGATTTCATACCCTCAAGAAGGAGTCCAAAGAGCCATTCTCCATGAACTCTGTAATGATCATGACTGGGGAACTCTTGGTCACCACTCCCTCCAGGTGGATGACATTGGGGTGGTCAAACTGCCCCATGATGCTGGCTTCACTCAGGAAGTCCCGTCTCTGCTTCTCTGTGTAACCAGACTTCAGGGTCTTGATGGCCACAAAGATCTCTCTTTTGCCAGGAAGCTTGAGATGCCCACTGCACACCTCACCAAATTCCCCTGTGAACAGAGAGAAACAGGTTGAACTTGTTGGCCTTCCAGAGCTCTGCCTAACCCCTGAGAGACCCCACTCCTTGGGGCTCCAGCAGTGAGCTCCAGAAGAATTCATCCTTTGGTAAGAAGCACTGGGCACTGTGGACAGACTGGATGTGGTCCAGAGACCACCATGTTCCTGCCAGTCCAGGAACGCTGTAGTTAAGCATAAAACCTGATTCACGTTAGTTTTCCTCGTACATACAAGGTTGAATCCTCATCAAGACTGTGGGACCCAGCCAACATTCCCAGTTCACCTACCTGCCCCAATCACCTGCTCGATTTTCACACAGGAGATATCAATTTCTTTTGCAAATTCCCTGACAGCCTCATTGGGATCCTCATAGGTAAATGGATCAATATAAATCTTCATCCCTGGAGTCACTGTGTAAAGTAGAGGGAGAGTCAGACAGACAGGCACAACTGGAGTGACCAAAAATTGACATCAAGAGAAATCTATTTGCGTGTGCATGTGGGGTTGTGTGAGCCTACATGGGACTGTGTGCCCATGGCTGCATGTATATCCATGTATGCATACATGTGTGTGAGTACATTTCTGTGTGTTTGTGTTTCTGTGCACAGTAATGCACGTGTATGCAGAGGGTTAGCATATAGCAGGGAACTGATAGGCCCCGCTGGCCTTTCCTGCATCATCTTCCTCCTCAGTAAACATCAGATACATGGGAAAGCAGAGGAGAAGACCTGGGCTCAAGTAGTCCAGGACCTAATCCAGGAGATGGTGAAGGCTGCCTTGAGACATTAATGCAGGCACATGCTGATTCTCTACTACACAGAGGTGGCTCCAAGGTGTCTGGTACTAATGTACAGCCATAAGACTGACCCCTCTATTAGAGATTCTGTGATCCTTCCATGGGCAATGCAATCAGGACAGAGAGCCCAGTCTGTCCCCTGCTCTCCCCACTGCTACCTATAGCTGAGGACAGCTATACCACAATCCTGGGCTCCGGCCAGTCTCCAGATTGGAAGAATTTGTAGAGCAGAGACCAGAGAAATAGAGGCACAACTCCCAGGTCCAGATACAGGATGATGTTCAGACCTATACAGGCAAGCTGCTGCAATGCTAAGGACTTTAAGGCTGCCTATGCCTTAGCAATCTGTTAAGCATAAGTGAAGCCTCTCTACAGCAATCACTGCTGGGAAACAGAGTAGAGACTATGCCTTGGATTGGTGTCTTGAGTGATGTGGCTAAAAGGCACCCCAGGCCTGTTATCAGTCCGTCTGTATCTGGTGGCACCTCTCCTATTGCGACAGTTGTGAAGGCACAGCTATTAATGCCTTCCCAGCCTGAAGCTGTCATGTTGCACACCAGACCCCGGCAGAAAGTGAGAATGTATGTTTACACATGCAGCAAGGACTGACAAACAACTGAGAGCTGCATTTACATAATCTTTCTTGAAGAGTGTCATTTTTAGTGGTAAGTTATAGCAATGCAGCCAGCACAATGCTGTTCTGGCATGGAGTCACCATTCAGTGCTCTGCCTTATGGAAAATGTTTCCAAGGTAAGAGCAGAAACACCAGTGAGCCCCGTGCCAAAATACTACTGATATTCTCCAGGCACGACTGTTTTCAGAACAAAGCCCAGTGTCTGTAAAAGAACAAAGTACAAACACCCCGAAGTTGCAAAAACAACATGATGTACATAACAACTGAGATTGGAACAAAGCAGAAGTTTAGTGACAGATCTCTAGCTAGGAAGGAAAAAGGCATTTTGGAGGGCATGCAGCCAAGGGCTGGTGAGGAGAATGAGGGTGAGGCAGGGTGCGTAGGGAGGTTGGAAGCAGGAATGCTGGATGTGAGGGAGTGCCTTATAGTGCATGAGGATGTCAAAGAGACAGGCTGCAAGAGAGGGCATGTTATGTACTGTATCTATTACGTAGAATAGTTTGAGTTGGAAGGGACCCTAAGTCTAGTCTGTCACCCTTGCAATGAACAGGAACAACCACAGCCCCATCAGTGCTCTGAGCCCCTCCTTGGGTGTCTCCAGGGATGGGGCACCACCACCTCTCTGGGCAACCTGTGCCAGTGCCTCACCACCCTCACCGTAACAAAAACTTCTTCCTTATATCCAATCTAAACCTCCATATATAGATACAGAACTCTACAGATCCCAAATACATATAGATACAATGCATAGCATGCCATACATTTGTAAAAAAACCGTAAGATAGATAGATCATATTTACTAGGATTCTGGAAGCAGTGGGACAGTCAATGGCAAAGGCACCATGTGAGCTCCTGCAGGAGGACAGTGCTCCATAGGAAGCAGGCAAGTTGGGAAGGATATCTCTGCTGCCCACAAGTTGGGAAAAGCTCAGAATCTGAGCAGCAAGACAAGGTGTGGTGGTAGGGGCTTCACAGCAGGAGAGGGAGTTTTGGGGGGCACGTGGAAGGGTTTCTGTTTGATGTTGCAGAAGTTTGTTGGCCATGCATGGGGGCCCACTTTATTGTTGGTATCCAAAACCATGCAGGTTTGGAGAGCACAAACTCTGCTAAGTGTGGCAGAGACCACAGAGGGCAGGTAGGGAATCTAGACGATGCAAGTGGGTGATCCAGGCAACAAATGCCAAACTCTGGTTCTAGGGGATGCAATATGCTGGTTCAGAAAGCACGAGGCTGCTACATCCAGTGTCTAGGAAGGGTGTGGGGAACCAGAGGCATGTTTCAGCAGTGCACAGTGAGATCACAGAATCATAGAATCCTTAGAGTTGGAAGGGATCTCTGAAGGCCATCTAATCCAACTCCTCTGCAATGAACAGGGATGGAGGGAAGAAGTGGAGGGCAAGCAGACATAAGCCAAACATGCAGTCCAGATCTCTCCAGTAGTTTCCTGCAAAAGCTTAGCCTTGTTAGACAGAAGCTTTCTAAAGAAGGATCTGGCCATGCTTCTGGGAGCCCTGACTAGCACAAGGATCCTCTTGTGTTCACATGCACAGATCTGCCTGGCTAAGGACCCTGAGCCCTCCCCGTACAACGCAAGGAATGAGTGAACAGGAACACAAACCGAAGAGAGAGCGGACCCCCAGGGCTGGCGGGGGACCACGGTACGTACTGTGGCCACTGGTATAGTGCTGCAGCTTGTCGGTGTACTCAGAGTCGGCACGTTCAAAGCCCCGTCTTCTGGAAAGAAAGGGAGTCCTGAGCAATGTGCACAGGTCAGCTGAGGCTGAGAAATGCACTGAAATGCACTCTTCCCCCACTTTTGTGGAATAACAGACTATCCCAAATTAGGAGGGGTCACAAGGACCACAGAATCGCTAAGGCAGGAAAGACCATTAAGATCACACAGTTCAACCATCAGCCCGTGCCAGTGGCTGCTCATTGACACTCAACTCCTGAACACTTAACATGCCCATCTCCATCCTCTCCAACTTCTATCCCCACCACTCTCCACCTCTAGCTGCCATCCCTCTGCACAGCCCCAGTACAGAGGGCCCCAAGTGATGCTCTCAGACTGACCTACCTGTTGCACACAATAATGATGACAACAACAGCAATGAGAAACACCAGTCCTGCTGCAGAGGAGCCAATGATGAGTGGCAGCTTCTCCTGGACACTGGTCTGGTACTCGGCTGAAAGGAAGAGGGAATGAGTTACTGCACGGACTGACAATACGTTCATCAAGGATGGCCTACATTTATATGCATGGCTACTGCTGTGGTGCTTCTTGGTGTGGTTTTTGTCTGGGCTATGTCCAGAGCATGTCTCATGTTGGCTCGGACAGAGGATGTTCTCAAGCAGGAAGGTTGGATGGAGCTATCCTTTTTGGGTGGGAATGTTTAGTCCTGTGGATGCATGCTGTGCCTTGTTACTTGGCCTCAAGGCTAGAAAACTGGCTTGGCTTGTTTTATTTAGCTGCACAAATGTAAAAAGTAGAGACCCAAAACACATTTGTCATCAACAGCTCTGCAGATGAACATCATAAATTCCATTTCCTTTAAATCCAACTGAACAGGCAGGTGCCCATGCCAGAAAAGCTTGGCAGAAGTTGGCCTAGATTATGTGATTCCCTGCATGGAATACCAAGTACCCAATCTTTCTCCAGCGCTTGCCAGGTTGAATAAACCCAGGTGACTTATCAATGCACCTCTGATGGGATTATCAGGAAGGGGACTAGCATTGCAACCAGTGCACCTTCATCTTGTTCAAGGCTCTCTAGACTTGTTTCATGTTTATGCAGAGGCAGGTGAAGACTCACCTTCAGTCATGGTCTGGAAGTACATCTTGCCACTATACCGGCCGTACCCAGCCACGGTGCGTGCTCGCACTTGGAAGACGTAGATTGTGCCAGCCTTGAGGTTTTGCACCGTCACAGTGTTGGTGGGACTCTTCACTGCTGTTGAATTTAACTCACTCAGGTTCTGCCAAGAAAATATACATCTGTCATCAGAAAAGAGAGTCAAGGCTCTGGACACCGCACCAGAATCAATGCAATGCTCAGAAGTATAGAAATTCCAAATTTCTATCCCGCCCCCTTTCGTGTGGTTATTCACCCAATTTATCCTTTTCAGTAGCACCTCCTGTCTGGCAGGTGAGGTTGCTTTGGCGGGGTCACTGGTTGGAACAGATCAGCTAAAAATCCTGGCAAATTTGCAAGTGAGTCACTGAGAACTGCTGCCTTCAAGTCACTGCAAGGGGCTTGGCAAGCCCACCAAGCACAGATCACCAGTCAGGAGAGGTACCTCACTTCTCACGAGATTTTAGATTGGCAGAAAGAAGTCACAAAGATACAGTTTGCATAACCCCATCAAGTGGACCTGCGGTTGAGGGGCTTGAGCTGTGAAACTCCATTGGGTGGCAGGGAGGAATTTCTTCTTGTTTCATGTTAGCATGATCCAGCCCAGGAGGCCAAGTGCACGCTGGGCTGTATTAACAGAAAGATTTCTGTCTACACCAATGCATGCAGTATGGGAAATTAACAGGAAGTTGGAATCCACGGTGCAATTAGGGAACTATGACCTAATTGCTATCATGGAAACATTGGTGGGGCCATTCACAAAACGGGACCACGACAATCAAGGGCTTTTTAGAATGGAAGCAGAAATGGGCAAATTGCTCTCTATGTTAAGAAATGGATAGATTGCTAAGAGCTGCCTCAGAAATTGCCACAGATGGGTTGAGTTTGTGGGCAAAAATTAAGGACTGGACTAAAAAAAGACATCTGGTGGTTGAGGTCTACAGGGGGCTACAGGCCATCAGATCAAGGGGAACCTAAGGATGAGGCCTTCAGCTTCAGCTACAAGAAGCACCACCCTCACTCTCATCCTTCTAGGGCATTTCAACCTGACTATTCACTGGACAAGGAATTGGTTGGATGGTTGCATCCAGAAGGTTGTAGTCAGTGGTTCTACACCCAGGTGGAAGCCAGTGATGAGTGGTGTTCCCCAGGGCAGTGGTACTCTTTAACACCTTTATCAGTGACATAAGCAGCAGGATCAAGAGCACCCTCAGCAGTTTGTTGATGGCACCAAGCTAAGCAGTGCAGTAGATACAACAGAAGGAAGGAATGCCATCCAAATGGATCTGGACAGGCTCAAGAAGTGGTCCCATAAGAACCTATGAGGTTCAACAAGGCTGAGTGCAAGGTGTTGCAACTGAGTGGGGCAATCCCAGGTATGTGTACAGAGTGGGAGAAGAACTCATCGAGGGCAGCCTTGTGGAGAGCGACTTAGGGGTTCTGGTGTGCTCAAGAAGCTCAATTACAGATACAAAGACAACAAAGACCGAGAAAAAATGAGCTCACAGAAAACTGATCGCCTCGTTTGTGTGAAAAGGCCTCAGAACTCCCATGGATTTTTCCCAGGAAGGCAAGGAGAGAAGTAGGTCAGGAAGCGTTTTCATTTTTACTGCCCAAGGGCTTGGATGAAACCTCCCAGGCCCTTGGATGGCATTAACAGCACAGTTGTTTTAAAATCATCAGTCCAACTGTTGGCGAGTACCTCATCCCCACCGTCATCCTGGAGGATTTTAAGTCGAATGCCACAGATATGCTTACAAGATGGTTTATAGGCTAGGAAACGAATGTCTGAGCAAGGTATTCTCATACCTATGCTCTCTAACTCCCCTCATGCAAGGAAAGAGCATTTATGGGTTTGTGGAGACAAACCCATATGGCTGGAACCAGGTAGATGGTGATTGCAGTTTAATCACTCTCCTCACACCTCTGGAGCACTTTCCCTCAAGCCTAACAGGGCTAAGACTTAAAAATGGCTTGGTAAATCTCTTCATAAATCTACTCTTTGCCTTTGGTATATTGCTCAGACATCATCCCTTCAGCAGCTTGCTTGTTCCCTTCAAACATTCCTCTCCTTTCACCCTTCTGAGCTTCTCCAACATGTCCAGGTGGTTTAAAGCCTATGTTCCTTTGCTGTTTCTCCAACCTCACTTTTGCAGGGCTTTTCTAGATGATTTTGCTTTGAGTTTGAGTACTTCTAACTTCCCGATAGACTTCATTTAGTGTCCTCATCTGGTTCTTCTCCCTCTGAGCCAAATCTATTCTGAAACTGAAGTCTGATCAACAAAGAGTTTCTTGAAACATCCATAGTCTGTGAAACGCCCGAAGGATTTGCAGAAATGGTTTCTAAAAAGTCATGTTTTATCAGCCAAAAAAAAAGCAAAGAAAAATGTCAACCAACTTAATTTGGCAGGCAGTTCCTCTCTGCATCTGCACAGCAGCAATCTGTTGTGGTTCCTGAAGCAAACAGAGTCACACGTACAAAGCAAGTCCAAGGCTGGATGCCAAATAATAACACAAATGTGAATTTCAGCCCCCTTGGGATCAAATGCATTAGGAGGGATGCTCAGATGTGGTAGGAGGGTCATTCTGGTTACTCCTGAGGTGGATCCTTGGGGCTCACAACTTCATACTCTTCTGGGTAACATCACTGAGCAACTGGGTCTGGGGGGTATCTCAAAAGCATAGAATCAAAGGATCATTAAGGTTGGAAAAGAGCATTGAGATCATCCAGTCCAGCCATTACATTTCCAATCCCAGTCAGGTACCTGATCAAGTGTGCCTCTTGGAAGTAAAGAAGATACCAAAAAAATGTACTAAAAGGTTCAAAGCCCAGGAAGAGAGAGCTGCAGTGACAGCACTTGGGCAGCCTGGGTTGTCCTCTCTGCCTGTGCTGGTGCCTCCTGAAAGCCTTTTGCCATAAAAAGCATCGCCCAAGTGTGGCTTGGACCGTTTGTCCTTGGGATCAGGGAGGGACTGTGTCCAAATATTTGACAACAGGGGAAAGTAGATGAACACCTTGTTGTTGGTTGCCACGAAGAGCAGCTTCCCCTTTAGCCAAGCCTCCCCCAGAAAACTGAGGGAAAAAAGAAAGAGGATGAGACTAAGAGAAAACAAGGTTGGTAGAATGAACTGCCTGAGATCATTCTGAGTGTCCCTGGGGAAAGGACCCTTCTTGCTTTCCAGATGCATCTTGTTACCTTCTCATCCATCTTGCCATGTATTCTGGGATCATCTCCAAGGGTCAAATAAAAGGCTGTGATTTATGCAATATAGGTCAGGACCTATTTAACAGTCTACAGAGAAGCTCCTCCCGCCTCCCTGTTCTCCCTCTGGCTCTTGGTGATGAGAAAATAGGTCACAGGCAGTGGGGGGGATTAATCATTTCTTCCGGCAACTGCTGGGAAAATATTTTCAGTTCCATTTAATCATAAAGCTTTTTAATTAGTTAGTTTGCATTTTTTTTTTTAACATATAGTTTATAAGCTTTTAAGCAAAGGGGCAGATTTCTGGAAGGAGAAATCTCCTGCTCTCCAATCCCCATCTCCATTGAATGGCGTGGATGAAGTTCAGCAGTCATGCAGAGCTTGGCATGTCCTGGGACCATTAGTCAGTGCAGTCTTCACATCCCTTGGCAGACCCATAGGACACCACTTCTCTCCTGGGAGGAGGTGGAAGAGGGGATGGAAGAGCCAAAGCTATGGGATCCTCACCAGCCTCACCTTAAGTTGGTAGTGCAACATGTTCCCTCCATGGGGATCTGGAACAGCTTTCCCCTGGTATAACACCCAGGTAAAGGGGTTGAGGCTGCTGCACACAGGTGCAAACTCATCTTTTGTGCAAATGCACTGACACACAATCTCAAAGATTGGACAGCTCGCTAACACAATCCATCCTGGCACAACATGCTATGTGACAACCCCACAGTTTCCATTCCCCACTAATGGAAAGGGAAAAATAAACCCTGAACTGGCTGCTGGCTGCCCGGCTCTCCCTGCAATGGGTCCACTTGACACCAGCAGGAGAGGTGAAGAAAGGAGAAGCTCCTCCTGAAAGACCAACACAGTTATGCTGCCTAAGCACTGAGCTGTAACCATCACTGTGCTCCAAAATGTTGACAGCCAGTGCCACCCATGCTGATGAGCCAAAAGCCTGTGCACGCCCTTTGCATCACCTCCTCTCCCCAAATCTTGCAGCCAATCCCGCAGTACCTTCTCATAATATTGTAGCTCATAATCCAGGATGACTCCGTTGGGCTGGTCAGGTTGAGACCACGAGAGGGTAATGCTGTCCACAGTGCGGCTGACCTGGTGCATGATGGACACAGCTGAAGGAGCTGGAAGAGAAGGAGAGAGGCCTCAGTCAGGTGCTTGCATGGACACGACCACATCCCCTGGCTGGAGGCAGGCAACTGTGAGTTTTTGCTATTTGGAGCTACTGAATTTGCTTCCAGCAGTGGCAGGACTCTCCAGGGGTCTGGAGATCCTGGTTTTTGCTTTTTGAAGACATTAGTTAAGGTTTTCACAGCTCACATAATTAGAAACCACGTAGGGAAGCATCTTTGGCAAGAAAACTGGAAAGAGATCATTCATTCCCAAGCAAAATGAGCCCAGGGTTGGAGCAAACACAGCCTTGTTCTCCTGGAAAAGTGCTACCAGCCCAGCAATATATAATCCTCCTTGCTTGCCATGGGGAAGTAGGGGGTTTTGTACTTTGACATTTGCATAGAGAGGCTTTATAAGGAACAGGCAGACGCAGGAAGCAAGCAGCTTCTCTCCTGCTTGGTGTGCTGGGTCTGCAAGTTGCACACGCCAATCAAGGGAGGTGTGTACAGCAGCATGAGCATGCAACACAAACCTGACCTGACATGCTGACAATGGTGAGTCTTCTGCCGAGTCAGAATGCCCTGGAAATAGCACACCCACAGACGCCTCTTGTCCCACTGAGCACAATGGGACCTTCCAGCAGCTCTTCACACACTCCAGGCAGCTGCCCACCCCTTGCTCTGCCCTGGTGTTGCCTATGGCCAGGTAGGAACACTGCAGTCGGAGCTGTTCTAACAGCAGGTGGGACGGGGCCACCGTGTGGATCTGCCCCCCTACTGGGCAGTGCTCAGCAACCTCAATTCCTCCTTACTGCCCCAGTCCCCCACATTCAGGGCCCATATTTATACACTTCTGGGATCAGTATCTCATGCTGGTGCTAAGATGAGACATGGGTAACATTTCTGGAGCCTGTTAGCTCTTGCCAGAACTTGCTGTTTCTTCATCAACATAGATCTCATGCTGTCTCCAAGAAAGAACATTTCTCTCTGCAGAGAAAGGCTTTGGAAGGAAAATGAGACCAAGCTACAGATGGCCCTGCAGTAGGGATTGGCTTTGGACTGAGATGAGCACACAGCCTGTGGGTGCTCTCGGAATCACAGAATGGACTGAGTTGCAAGGGACCCTTAAAGGCCATCAGGTCCAACCCCAACCCACCATCAGATGGGGCTCCATCAGTGATCAGAGCTCCACCCAGCCTGATCGGGTGTCTCCAGGGATGGGGCATCCACCATTTCTCTGGGCAACCTGACCCCACAGTCCTAAACATTTCTCCAGGGGCTCTGAGCACCTGATGGAGCTGTGGGCATCCCTGTTCACTGCAGGGGGGTTGGACCAGATGGCCTTTAAGGGTCCCTTCCAACTCAATCCGTTCTATGATTCTCTTATTGTCAAAGACATCAGGGAAACGCTGAATAATGAAATCACAGAAAGATTTAGGTCACAAGTGACCTCTGGAGGGTTCCAGTCCAACTAGCTGCTCAGTGCTGGGTACTTTCAAAGTCACATCATTCTGTTTAAGGCCCATGCCCAGCTGACATCCAAATACATCCAAGCATGGAGATCCCACAGGCTCTCTGAGCACCTTTCCAGAAGTATTTAAGGCATGCAGAGTAATAGCTAAAAAGGAAAGAGGAAAAAAGGACAATCTGGGATAGTGCTACCCAGTGATAACCTCATCACAAGGTGTGATGCAGCTCTAACAGAAGCATCAAGCACCTTTGTGACCAGCCTCAACCACGCCATGCAGAGAGCTTTGCTGATATGGGACATGATGAAGTGACAAACAACAGAAAACACCCATGAGACACAGACACTTTGTGACACAGGATGAACAGCGCTGGGCAAAGACGGCAAAAACTGCAAAACCTCTAAGCTGACTTTCCTGAACCGTCGTTTCTGAATCAGATACATGCTTCCGTTAGGTTGAGTATTTCAAAGCAAACACATAACAAACTGCGGAGAAGAAAAAAAATGAAGCCTTTGTTCTTTCAGCTTGCTTTGTGCACAGCTCTTTCCAGGACTATGCGGAGCACGGCTGGGCTGTGAATGCCAAAGATTCGATGGCAGCACTTAACCTGGCACCGTGGGACCGGTCACCTCGTTCCATGAGCAGTGTTTCCTCTTTGTTGCCTCGTGACAAAAGAAAGACAGTTTTGGTGACCATTTCCAGGTCAGTGCCCAGCACCAAGGACACTCCCTTTGCTATTGGTTCTCCCTTGCTCATGGAAAAGGTCTGAATTACTGTTGATGTGGATAGGGGATGCTTTTTCTTCACTGAAACGTTTGAGCCCCACACCATTTCAAGGTAAAATGAATGATTCAAGTCCTTGAAAGACACTTTTCTACATCCTTGTTATCTGGTACGGCCTCAGATTCTTTGGATTCCTCTTGGAGGAGCCCCGTGGCTGGAGAAATAAACCATGCCAAAACTACTGCTGGAGTGTAAAACATGCTTAATGAAAATCCCCTGATGTAAAAAGGCAGATGACCTGTCCTGCTGTAACAAAACCTGCAGCACATGGAGAGGAGAGGCAGCAAAATCTCTCACGTTGTGCAGAAGCGCAAGAGGAATGCAAGGGATGCTTCCATGGTTGTCACCACAAGGGTCCATTCTACCACACAGCACTGAGCACAGCCAGACCCCCGACTGACCGTTTCCCATGCCAAGTCAAACACCTGCTGAGGAGGAAATGTAAAGTCATCACTAGCTCTGGCAAGAGAAGCACCACAGATACAGCAATGCTCAGCTCAGAGTATTTAACTTCTGTACAAACAGGGGAGGACCTTCAACAGCAGAGAATCACAGCATGGCTCAGGTTGGAAGAGCACTCAGATATGATTCATTTCCAACCCCTGCCGTGGGCTGTTTGCCCCTCCAGATCAGGCTGCCCAAGGCTCCATCCAGCCTGGCCTTGGGCACATCCAAGATGGGCTCCCATTACTTCTCAGGGCAGAAGACAATGCTTCATGTACATGAAGAGTCTTGCCACTGTCAAGGTCGGTCTAAAAGACATTCTGCATGACTACTCATTAGCAAAAGGGGAATGGGCAAAGAAGGGCCTCCTTCTCTCCTCTGTTTCACCACAGCTGTGCTGCAGACTAAACCTACCACTGGGAAGTGCTTTGGTGTCTCCCAAGGCAGCGTTTCTGGCCCAGATAATCAGCTTAGGTGCCTTACTTGTGTTCAGTTGAAGCTCAAGGGACCATACTGGGGAAAGAGATGAAGCAGGAGGCTCAGTTGCCTCCTCATCTGTGAAAGCTGAAGGACATTTGTTTTGCTGATGCACCTTGGACCTTGATTGAATCTTGGACTTCATTGATGAGCTTGTTTCTGTTAAAGAAACAGACAACTCTTGGGCATGCAGTGCACCTACCCCAGGTGCTGGGCTAGCATTCCCTGGGCAAAGTAGGATGAACACCCTGTCTGTGACCATGAGACAAAAGGTGGGGCTGGATCAGACTCTGAGCAAACTGATCTTCACTGGGGGGGAGATGGACTAGATGGCCTTTAAGGGTCCCTTCCTACTGAAACGATTCCATGATCTCAGACAGCTCTGGATTTCTCCATAGGAGCCAGCACTATCACTCACTCTTGATTCCTGCTGAGAGGTTCAAATAATGATACCTAAACTCAAACAGCTGAGTCTCCCTCCTGCTGTGGGGATATCTACATCTGAGCTCCTGGTTGTTGCTGATGAGGTCTCCAATGGTTACAAGAGAGGCACAGCTGTGCCATGTGCTGCCTCTGGAGCTCAGCATGTATTTCCAAACAATAAATAAATTATTATTTGCTCTGGAAATAGATCCTACTTTAAGGTGACCATCAATATCTTTTTAAAGGTTTACATGCTTGCTTGAAAGCACATTCCAGGTATCCTGGTGGAGCTGACATGCAGTCTAATACCTCCATGGGCAAGGAACCAGAGAGCTCTAGATCCATCAGCCTCAAAGGGCAACTTAAACAGTTTCTAATAGAGAAGGAAAGGGGAAAAGGCAAGAATGAAAGAAATGCGTACTTTTGCAGAAGACTGAAGCACTTTCTAAGTGTAGCAATTCCTAGAAGAACGTCACGCTGACCACCAGACCCAGGGCAGTCTGATGAGATCGCAGAGGAATATGGCAATTCACAAAAAAATTGGAAAAAGACACTCTAACACCCAGGTCTGAGCATGCACACAAGACTTGTGATAGAAGCCAAGCAGTCAGCTCAGGTTGGAAACTAGGAAAAACTTCTCCAAAAGAGTGGTGATGCATTGGCACAGCTGCCCAGGAGGTGGTGGGGTCACCATCCCTGGAGGTGTTCAAGGAACGTGGAGATGTGGCACTGAGGGATGTGGCTGGTGACACAGTGGGGGTGGGCTGCCAGTTGGACTTGGTGATCTTAAAGGTCTTTTCCAACCCTAGTGATTCTGTGATTCAGCACAGCTGCAACATCTGTGGTTGACTGTGTGTGTATATTACAGACAGACATCCAGTTTCCTTTGAAGTCTGCAAATTAGGACGAGCCCATCAAGCCTCTTGGGAGGCTTTCCTTGTGGTTACTTGCCACGTTATAAAATGCACATTTTACTTTCAGGTTGAAATTTATGGACCTCAGCTTCCAGCTGCTGGATGCTTTCTGCTTTTCCTAGCAAAACTAAGGAGGAGTCAAGAAAGTGAGTTTTATCCACATGAAATTAAGTAGAAAAAAACACGAAAACATTTTCTTTTCATCTTCTATAATCTGAGTAGACTGAGTTTCTTGTGTGTTTCAGAGATTTATCAGCCCACGTATCAATCTGATAGCCCTCCTCTGAAACCTTTCCAGTCTCTTGTTAACCTTGTTTTCATATCTAAACCTCAAAACGGATCTCCCAGCCACCAGCAGTCAGCAGCGCCTGCTCCCCAAGGTTTGATATTCCTCGGAGTGTGACCAAGTCAACACTTCTCCAACTCAGCCCAAGTTCCTACCAGGTTTTGGCAGGGCTGTGCTCCCTTTGTGTTGTGCACCTTCAGTTTTCTTCTTGTTCTT